TTCTTTAATGTTTTTCTGTTGTCCACTTTGTTTCAAGGAATACAAACAACACACACACTAGAGGTATTCTTTAATGTTTTTCTGTTTTCCACTTTGTTTCAAGGAATACAAACAACACACACACACATTAGAGGTATTCTGTAATGTTTTTCTGTTTTCCACATTGTTTCAAGGAATACAAACAACACACACACACACACACACACATTAGAGGTATTCTTTAATGTTTTTCTGTTGTCCACTTTGTTTCAAGGAATACAAACAACACACACACTAGAGGGATACAGACATTACAGTATAAATATGTTTATTCTCCACCATATACTCATTTACTATTGAATTTTATTTTAAAATTATAGTGTAATTGGAAATAACACTTAAGTGTGAATACAGAAATAATTAAGGTTTTGGTCACGAATGAGGTATTACATTAATTAAAACATTGTAATTTCTCTTAACAGTTTGCTATTCAAAATTTTATATTGCAAATAAGTTCTAACACATTCTATGTTGTTATAATTTAGCATGCGATATATTTATATTTTAAATATAAAGCATCAAGGTACAAACTTAAATTAAATTTAATAAAACAATTTAAAAAAATCTAAGACTTATCCCCACCCTGCATAAAAAGAAGAATATGATTTAAAATTGAGCTTAAGTGTGCTCCATAAGAGAGAATTTGGAAAACATATTATAGAAATGAACTGAAAAACGCATTATACTAAAGCTTATTTTACACCAGTTAGTTTGTGCTGTTGTACATTTTTGTCAAAAAGTTTATTCAAAAGTTTTAAAGAATTTTCAAAATGATTTTTTTTCACTAGGAGAAAAATGTTATAAAATCCTAACAACTGAAATTCTTAATCCCATCCTTTACAATTCCCGTTATGAGACACCGTGATAACCCTTCAACTGTTTTAATTATGTATTGAAGAATCATTTTCCTACACTAGATGTCTGAATGCAAATTCACAATGTGTAGCAGGACTTGAGTAATTTATAAAAAGGTTTTGAGGAAATAAATTGGTAAATGAGGGATTATCTAACAAAATTTAAATAACAGATAATTAAACAAATTTAATAAGCTACTTAAAAAGTTGTAAGCTTACAGACTATTAAATATATTTGTGATGATTAATATTGAATAAGAATTTTCACAAAATGTCTTCATTGCTAAAGCTTAAACATCAAAACTTTATGGGAATTGAGCATTAAATAAGGCAAAACATTACAAAAGTACCACCTACTTGCATTCTCTGGCAGTAGATATGTTTTTGTCATGTGAAAAACAAGGGTTAACCTTTTCACTGCAGCTGAGATGTATATTTCCCAGTGCTCTTACCCCCTCACGGGGACAGATGTTTCCCATTGTCATTCAAAATGCTGCATGTGATGTATGGGAGTAAAATGATTTAAAGTATTTATTTGCATCCCACCTAATGTTGATATATCATTTCCCTCAATGTTTTCCACTCAGCCCTTCAATAACCAACAATATGTTTGAGCAGAATGTACGACAACTGCGTGCCAACCATACCTGCATCACTAGAGCAGCGAGTAGTAACCCTAATTACTATGTAAGTATGCTTGATGAGCTTGACTCGGACAGCTTAGAAGATGCTGAAAGTGAGTCAAGTGGTGTTCAAATGTGTGATGATGAAGAGGCAATGAGACAAAAGGATGCTAGCTGTCCATCTAGTGATGATAGTCAAGATGATGAACATGTACTCAGCAGAAGAAGGCATAAACAGTTTTGACAATAGGAAACATTTGTCCCAGTTGCAGTGTGAGAGGGTATGAGGACTGGGAAATATATGTTCAAGCCGCAGTGAATGGGTTAGTGTCGGTAATTATGTGTTGTAAATGTTGTGTTGTATTAATAAAATAATTTTAAAGCCTTTGATATAAAGATGAAATGGCTTAGTTTATAACTTTAAAAAAAGGCAGTTTTTGTTTTCCAAATTGTTACTGTGGATTAATTGTTAAGCCTTTTTCTCCTCAGTTGGCCAGATGTAGTGTTCCAGGGTTTTCACGGCTGCATGAGTGGACTTCAAATTGGATCGACTGTTGTAAACTTGCTGAATGCTGAGGCATATAATTTATTACCTGGATGTGAAGATGAGGTTAGGAATGTTGTGATAAATACTAATAATCATAACTTATTGCCTGGCCATGAAATTAAACGAAACTATATATAGGGCATGGTTCTATTGCACATCCTTATTTTTTGATGTAAACAGCTTAAGGTGAACTTAAAACTACTTGTATTAATATTTCAGGTTATTAAGATAGTAAGGTTCACAGGAATGGGATACTTAGAAATGAAAGGTCAACCTTTGGAAAGAGAATCCAATTTCAGCTTCACCTTCTTGACGAAGCAGGAAAATGCCCTGCTGTTACTCTCAACTTTTGAAGGAAGTGATGAGAAGGAGGTGGAGAATGTAAGTAATATAGTTACTATCAATCATAACAAGAAAAAGGCACAAAAAATATGCAAGCAACATTGTTCATAACATGTAAATATAAATATTTTTGGGTTTAGGATCTTGCTTGAGATTATTTGTGTATGTGTGTATTTTTTTAATTACTCAAGAAATAGTGGAATGCAATTATATTTTTTATTGAAGTTTTCTTATTAATGTTTTTATTTTAAAATTAGTTCAAAGTTGATACCTTCTATTTTTGGTATGATGTATCCCATAAACTTAACCCTAGAATGCAGTCCTGGGTCCAACAGACCCAGCACAGTTTTTGTTGTGCAATAATTCTATGTTGCCATGACCCTTCTTGTTGTTTACAATTTAGTGACAAATATTTCTGTTGGAGTTGTCTTTTTTTGAGCAAATATACAGTATTGCTAGACCTGACCATTGGAACAGTGCAAAGTGTTTCAGGACTTTATCACAGGGTTAAACTTGTTTTGTTTTGTTTAATGTGTAGTTGTAGTAAGAACTATTAGATGTGTAGTCCTGGCTTTGTTGTAAAATTAAACCAAAATCTGTTGCCTTTTGTTTAATTTTATTGTAAAAGAAGACAAATAAAGGTGTTTTCTAACTATAAAGCATACATGCATCCCCATGTCTGGTGGTAACTTAAAGTTAGCTCAAGAATTGAAAACATATCCAAGTTTTCCTGGAAAATGAAATGCAAATTCTTAATCTCGTGTTATCAGTCCTAACATCTAAAATCAATGTTTACCCACTCTTCATGCAGCTTGAGGAGTTGTGGTTAAGGTTGTGGAAGACTACTCAGGTAGGAAATCACTTTTGTTTTGTGGTAGTTTTGAACAGATCTTACAGAAAAGTTGACCTATGAAAAAAAGAGATTTTTTTTCTATGTAACAAAGCCAGTTATTATTTTAACAATGGATTAACCCTTGTACAATAAATTCCAAAATATTTACTGTAAATTTTGTTTTGTGTTTTACTTTAAGTTTTGTGATTTTATAATTTTGTGTTTTTTTTAATCATACTTTCAAAGTGTGCCCTTCCATATTCGGTATTTTTTGTTTCAACAAGTGACACAGATTTTTTAAATTTTATTTTCATATAGAATTACTATTCTGTTGCTGTGGTAAATGGAAAGTTAGAGACAAGGTTGAATGCAGGGAAAGGTGAAAAATTAATTGAATCCAGTAAACCAGTCAATGATGGGAAATATCATACAGTTACATTACTGAAGAATAGGCGCTAGTAAGTCCAAACACTGTTTTGTTAAATAAGAAAACAACCATTTTTTAATCATCAGAGTTAACATTTTTCTCATCAGAATAGTAGCTAACTTTGGAAGGTGTGTTGTGGTTCCACCTTCGTCAGTCAGAGTATTTAAATAACCTGGATAACCATGTTGGTGATTTGTTTTTAATATTAGATATATGGGTTATTAGATTTCTTGCACAAGAAAGTAGATTTGCAAGGTTGAAAAATCTTCTATAGCAAAATTTACAAAATAAGGTACATCTGAGTAAAATTATACCTAACCGGAAAAATAATAAAATATATATATTAATAACTAGATCAGTCATGTAAGATTATTCTACTGAGTTAGTACATGTATTGGAAATACCCGATTGCATTTAAACAAACTTTATAAAGAATAATCAGATGCTACAGTTGTGTCTGTTTGAAAATTTTTAAAAAATCATTTTTTTTTTTCATTAAATGTGTTACTATTAGTGTCAAGTTAAGAATTGATGATGAGAATGTGGGAAGTGATGAAGGTCTGCGACTTAAAGGATCAAGAATTGATGCACCTGTCAATGGAGGTTTATTTTTTGGTGGAGTGAGAAACAACATGAGAGTGAGTCAGATGACAACTACTACGAATAATTTGACAGGAATTATTAAAGATGTAATTTTCAACAATAGGTAAGATCCACAGTAGGAGTTTATACTGATAAAAGTATTAAGATATGTTTGTTGAAACATGACATCAAAAAGTTCTACTGATGATAGTCTATATCATATCTTGTCAAACTATAATCTATAATTGGACATGACAAAGAAACATGACATCAAAAAGTTCTACTGATGATAGTCTATATCATATCTTGTCAAACTATAATCTATAATTAGACATGATATCAAAAAGTTCTACTAATGATAGTCTATATCATATCTTGTCAAACTATAATCTATAATTAGACATGATATCAAAAAGTTCTACTGATGATAGTCTATATCATATCTTGTCAAACTATAATCTATAATTGGACATGACGAAGAAACATGACATCAAAAAGTTCTACTGATGATAGTCTATATCATATCTTGTCAAACTATAATCTATAATTGGACATGACGAAGAAACCTGATATCA